TTACTACTGTTTTTTTTCTCCTTTGTGATAGCAAAACCCAGTGTCTGCATCTCCCATTCCCAGTGGCACCAACAGTCCAGCCCCTAAGAAGAGTGCTGGCAGTGTTGATTATCTGGCCCTGGACTTCCAGCCAAGCTCTCCAAGCCCCCACCGCAAGGTGTGTGAGGTGGGGTGGGCATGCCAGAGCTCAGGGCCTTGGAGGAGGGATCCCTGGAGGGCTGGGGGCCTTCAACCCTGAACCGCAGCACTCGGCCTCTTGGGACTCAACGTGCACTTCATTTCATGCGGGTCTTTGGGGGCCCGCGTGCCACTCAGGGCATAGGCACCCAAGGTCTTCAGGGCCTCTCCAGCTGTCCGTCCCCCTTGGTGTACAGAGGAGCAAACAGGTGCACACCAAGGCATGATCTGTTCAAGGTTACAGAGTGAATCAGTGATGGGCCCCAGGCTCATGGGTTCTGTATCCTGTCTGGAGTTGTCACATGAATTGCCATTGACACAGTGGTCTGCAGAGGGGACTTTGGGCCTAGGATAGTCATCCATAGGAGGCACACTAAGCTGCCCAGTCCAGACAGCAGGGTTGGAGGCTCTGGCTCTGCACAGCTCCCTTACAGGAAGGCAAATTGCCACCAAGCAACACTCAAAAAGCCCCACCAGGCCAAAAAGGACCTGGGTACTCCTAGGAGCTGGGAAATTGGGAGGGGTGAGGCAGTTTGGAGTTCAGGCTTTAAAGGACACTTTCAGAAAAAGAAAAAGACAGGCTCCTGAGCCAGTCAAAGCAGCAGGCAGAGGCGCACATCCTCTCCCCTAGGGACAGTTTAGGAAGAGCCCACCCGCCTGCTCCCCACCTGACAACTCACAACCGCTTCTCCCCCAATCTGTCCCTCAGCCATCCACGTCATCCGTCACTTCTGACGAGAAGGTGGACTATGTTCAAGTGGACAAGGAGAAGACCCAGGCCCTGCAAAACACCATGCAGGAGTGGACAGACGTGCGGCAGTCCTCGGAGCCCTCCAAGGGCACCAAGCTGTGACGCGGGGCCGGGAGGCAGTGTCTCCAGAGCGGGCCCCTCCCCTTGCCTCTCCTCTGTCCTCTCCCCTGGCCTCCTTCCTGCCACTCTGGCCTTCGAAGCATTTTGCATCAGGGACCCTGAACCTTTCCCCGGGAGGCGAGGGTCTGATTGAGGCACTTCCTCTGCCCACTCAGGGTCCACCTCTAATTTTTATTGGTAATGGCCATGCCTCTCTCCACCTTAGTTATAGAGCTATTGCCAAAAAGCATCCTTCAGCCTCTTCCTGCCCTTTAGACCTGAATATCTACCGGACACGCGGAGGGAGGAGCTGGGCTCTGAGCCAGATTCTGCATCTTGCACCCGGTCACAGCCCCCCACCCTCTCCCCTCCAGCGACTGGGCTACCTCTCCCTCGATCCTGGAAGAAGCCAGTCGTCTCACTGACCCAGGGAGCCAAGGGTAGGCTGACCAAAGTGGGTGTGGGCTTCTCCATCCCTTTTCTTGGTAGGGAGGAGGCAAGACCACCAAAAGGTGGAGTCGTCAAGAAGGAAGTTTGGAGGTGCTCTTGAGGGACAAAGGAGTTAGAGCCAGACGCAGAAAGGCAGTTGATAGCTGGTGTGCATAAGAAAGGCAGGAGGATGAGGACTTCAAGGAGCAAGGCTTGGAGCCCAGAGGCTGGCAGGTGACTAACACTCAAAAAGCCCCACCAGGCCAAAAAGGACCTGGGTACTCCTAGGAGCTGGGAAATTGGGAGGGGTGAGGCAGTTTGGAGTTCAGGCTTTAAAGGACACTTTCAGAAAAAGAAAAAGACAGGCTCCTGAGCCAGTCAAAGCAGCAGGCAGAGGCGCACATCCTCTCCCCTAGGGACAGTTTAGGAAGAGCCCACCCGCCTGCTCCCCACCTGACAACTCACAACCGCTTCTCCCCCAATCTGTCCCTCAGCCATCCACGTCATCCGTCACTTCTGACGAGAAGGTGGACTATGTTCAAGTGGACAAGGAGAAGACCCAGGCCCTGCAAAACACCATGCAGGAGTGGACAGACGTGCGGCAGTCCTCGGAGCCCTCCAAGGGCACCAAGCTGTGACGCGGGGCCGGGAGGCAGTGTCTCCAGAGCGGGCCCCTCCCCTTGCCTCTCCTCTGTCCTCTCCCCTGGCCTCCTTCCTGCCACTCTGGCCTTCGAAGCATTTTGCATCAGGGACCCTGAACCTTTCCCCGGGAGGCGAGGGTCTGATTGAGGCACTTCCTCTGCCCACTCAGGGTCCACCTCTAATTTTTATTGGTAATGGCCATGCCTCTCTCCACCTTAGTTATAGAGCTATTGCCAAAAAGCATCCTTCAGCCTCTTCCTGCCCTTTAGACCTGAATATCTACCGGACACGCGGAGGGAGGAGCTGGGCTCTGAGCCAGATTCTGCATCTTGCACCCGGTCACAGCCCCCCACCCTCTCCCCTCCAGCGACTGGGCTACCTCTCCCTCGATCCTGGAAGAAGCCAGTCGTCTCACTGACCCAGGGAGCCAAGGGTAGGCTGACCAAAGTGGGTGTGGGCTTCTCCATCCCTTTTCTTGGTAGGGAGGAGGCAAGACCACCAAAAGGTGGAGTCGTCAAGAAGGAAGTTTGGAGGTGCTCTTGAGGGACAAAGGAGTTAGAGCCAGACGCAGAAAGGCAGTTGATAGCTGGTGTGCATAAGAAAGGCAGGAGGATGAGGACTTCAAGGAGCAAGGCTTGGAGCCCAGAGGCTGGCAGGTGACTAGGACACTGTGGGTCAGGGCCCCAGGCCGGTGGAGCCCCGGGGCTGCAGAGTAAACGTGAAGAAGTGAGATCGTTGGGGAGCAACGTGCATGGTGGCATGACCCGAGGACAGCTCCCAGCCCTGATGACGACGGAGAGAACAGGGCAGGGCAGACTGGGACCTAGAGGACAGAGTATGGGAATGGCTGGTGGCCTGGGCTTTGCACCGGGTCCCGGGGCAGGCATGAGTGTGGCCTGGATTCCTCCTCGGCCAGGGCAGCCCACACAAGGCCTTCATGGGGTCTCCAGCTCCTCTCACCTTCTCTTGCTCCCTCAAGCGCCAGGTGCCATGTGGGACTCAAACCTGGCTGCAGGCACAAGACGGGCCCCCAACTACCCTGGGGTGGAACCCTCCCTCCTACAAAGCAATGACTTCCCATCATGTTTGACGGAGGTGTTTCCTGTGACCGCATGTGCATGCACCCCTCACCAGCCCAGGGGCGTGTGACCGTTCTAAGAACTGCCACTGAGAAAAAAGGGCGCAAGACATTGATAGTGGCCCAAAAAGGCTAGAATGCTGAGGCGGGAGTGCAGAGGGAAGGACGCAAGGCTACTTCTTTGGGAAGGTGTTTCTAGGAGATGGGGCCTTAGAGGAAAATAGGCCCAATTTTTTAGATGGTAGGGCAGGGCTAGGGTCCAGTGGAGGAAGGAGAGACTTGGAAAGCCTTGAACTTTGGGAAGAAAAGACCTCTTTAGGAGGCTGGCCCCAGGCCTTGGTGTGCCCCACAGGTGACATGACCTACACTGGGCCATGCCAGCATGCTCTGCCCGGCCCTATCCCTTTAAAGCCTCTCTGTGAAGTGGCTCATGGCAGGCAACCTGTGGGCCCAGGTATTGATGTCCCTGGTGTCCAGGCGCATCCCCTGATGACCCCTGGGGGCCTTAATAATGTCAGCATTTTCAGAATGTGCCATGTTGTGAGTGAAACTGGCTGGAGCCTTCAGAGACCCAGCTGGTCACACCTCATTTCCCCAGAGGCGTCCTTGTAGGTCTGGGTTCCTCTTGCTCCCAAACTTTTCGTGTGAAGCTCAGGGTAGAGATGGAAGGAAGTGCAAGAGGGACTTAGCCAGTGGCAAGCAGGAACTCCGGGTCACAGTCCCATCCCTCCTCTTGGCCTAGCAAGGGCCCCAGAATGGGGGTTCCTCCTCAGCCAGTGCAGTCCACACAAGGGTGCATTCTGCCTGGGGCTCCCCAAGGAGCCTTCCTTGCCCCCTGCAAGCTTCAGCTCTGCAAGGTGTAAGACACTAATGCAGGAACAAGAGAGTGAGTGCTTCTGGGGGGGGGCCCCTCCCACAGCTGTTGCTCCACTGTTTCAAAGCACTCCCTGCAGCTTCTCTCGGGAGGGTCTGGACCATCAGGAATGGGCAGCACCAGAGCATTAGCTACTTACCCTGGTCCCCTCCCTAGATCAGTTTTGGTAACTTCTACCTTTGAAACCTTCAAATACTACCCATTCCCAGGAGTGAAGCACAACCATTACAAAGTCATTGATTGGAGAATAGGCTCAACCCCAGTTTGCCCTGTGGCCTCTAGGCTATGGCCTCAGCTCCAAGCAAGGGAAGCCAGGCTTGACCACAAACTCTGAAGCCCTGTCCTGTGGGTGGGGCCATCATTCTGGACGCACCTTGCTCTTTGGGGCCCGGGCCACAGTGGCCTGCCCACTGGAGGGTCAGGCTGTCATGTGCTATTTGGTGGTATGTGTTTGTGTGTGGTTGTCGGTTACATGTGTCTTGAAATTTAGAGTCATTTCGCACAGAATTGTCACTATTTGTTGGGAAGAGAAAATGGGCTAGGAGAAGCTCAGTCTTAGGTTCTTGCCCTGTTACCATTTAAAATTGACATTTAATTTTTCAAATCACTGTTGGTGCCTAATCACTTAAGTTATTAATTTATTCTGTTTTCTTTTAAAAATTTGTAACATGTATTTATCCTGGGGGGGGAGGGGAAGAGTAGGTGATCAAGTGGGTCCTGTTTTTGCTGTGGCAGCACATGGTACAGACCTAGAGCTTGCAGGTCCCTTTTTACTGTGGTGTTGGAGCAGGACAATAATAAAGTCCATTAGAAGCAACCAGAGAGGGCTGCCTTGTCTGAAGAGGATGGGATCCACACACAAAGCCCAGCTGGGGGCCTCCCACATGTAGGCTTAAACACATTCTCAACAAGTTTACTCTCTCATGGTCCCAGGAGGTCTACGTGCCTGTCTGCACCACTTTCATTTTAATAATAGGAATGTACTCGGTATGCTTCTTGGCTAGGAACAAGACTGAACCCTTACCTCAGGCTCTGCATTCCTGATGTGTAACATGGAAACTGTAGTAACACCGGCCAAATCTCCTTAGAAGACACACAGGACTGGGACTGTGGAAGTGAATTCTGAGTGTGACCTGGTATCAAACTATTGGCTTGCTTTTGCTGGTCCCTAAGGTCTCCAGGGTCTGTGCTATTTGGGCCAAAACATCAGCACAGGCCCACAACCCTTGAAGTCCCTGCCACCATGCCTTCTTTGTTCTCCCAAAGAGCAGAGCCCCCGCATGCCTCTCCTGCTCCCAGAATGGGAAGGAACTGGGTGTCGGCTGTGGAGTGACTGGGGGTGGCCTGTGCCCAAGTCTGGCCTCAGAGAAGTCACACACCCTTCCAGGCTCTGAGAGAAGGAAAAATAGCTATTTCTGGGAAAAATCCTGACAGCCACCAGGCATCTAACCTCTCCCTGCCCCACCACCAGGCCTCACCTTCCCATGGTACGTCACACAAGGCAATGGGGCAGGAGGGATAACCCTCCCTGCTGCCTAGACACAGCAAGAAACCAAGGGTACAGTAGACACCACAGCCACTGACAGAGGAAGAATGACATCTTTAAAGGCTTCAGAGAACTTTTTATTCCTGTTTGAGACCTTGGGTCTCTCTCTTCTCTCTCTCCATTAGAAGGTGTACAGCAGTGTCAGGGCACAGAGGTCAGTATCTGCTCCTCACCAAACCAGCCCCCAGATTCCCATTCTAACAGCCAACTGATGAGCTGAGCCCGCTAGCTCTCCCCAGAAGGACAGTTCCAAGAGAAATGCACACATACTTGCCGTAAAATAAGGACTCTTATTTGCATCAGAAGGGGGATGCACTTGGTGGCATCTTGGGCACAGAGGCAGCCGAGGGGGGCCATCCTCCCTTCTATGCAGGGTTGCTTGGTGTGGAGAGACGATCTCTGATCCTGCGTCAGGCTGCATCCCACCCACGTGCCTCAAAATAAACAGTGTTACCTCTGAAATCCCCTCAGAGAAACAACGTGGCCAGATCCGGCTCTGCTTTTTATACTGTAGAGTATTAGGATTGTCTGAAAGGGAAATGCTACTTGATGGCAAGACACTGGAGCTGTGAAGGTCAGCCCTGCTGGGGGAGCAGGGCCCAGAGCGCATCCAGCTAAGCTGCTTCGAGTGGACCAGGACACTTGGGTGTAAGATCTTGATGGGGCTGATCCCCCTGTCAGGGCCTGAGGCCTAGTTTAAAGGGCTCACCTCAATATCTGGGGCTCCAGGTGGCCTTCAGGCCAAGGAGCAGTGTTCCAGAAGCTCCCTCTCCACCTTTCTCACCTTTCGAAGGCCCTACATCAGGACTGAACCTGCCTCCACAGCCTCCCTTTGACCCCACATGGCAGTGCAGCTCTGCCTGGGATCTGGGCCCCCACCCAGTTGCCAGAAGGAAGGGGTCCAGGCCTCCCCACGATTGGCTGTGGCCCCTGCCCCCCAAACACACACACACAAACGGCCAGTGGACGGTTCCCATTAGAAGACCAGTCTGTGGAAGTCACCACCATTGCCCCCTGCAGGGTTGCAGCCCCCAGGAGAGCCTTCATCCTCGTCCTTATCTTCGTCAAAGCCTCTCCCCCAGTGTGGAGATGCGGGGAGCGCAGAGATGTAGGCTGCCCTGCTGCGGGCCTCCTTCTCCTGCTCCTGGAAACAGATAGGAAACTTAAAATTAAGGCCCTGCAGCCAGGGACCTCCCTTCACTCCCTCCCCAGCACAGCACCTGCTGTCTCTCCTTGCATCCCTCGGGCCAAGCACAGAGGAGCCATGGCTTCTGCCCTAGAGGCATTCTGGCCCATTCCTTCAAGACCATCCCTCCTCCTCCCAATAAAACCCCAGACCCCTGGAGGGAAGGAGCTCACTCATACTAGACTGTGAATAGCTGACAAGGGCCAAATGTGGCACCAGGAAGCAGGAGGACCAGGGACTTCAAGGGGCATGTCCCAGCAAACAGGGACTACCCCACAGACTTCCTGACCCAGCTGTGCAGCTGACTCCCTCTCGAGGCTCTAGGAACTGACTCCCCTGTGAGAAAGCTCTTCTGCCCAGCTAAGGCCGGCCTCACAGAGACACCTCACCACGGGCCCTGGCCCTGCCTGGACAGCCCTGCAGAAATGTAAAAGCAGGCCCAGCATCCCCACTCCACAACCACCTTCCCCATGAAACACCCACCCATCCACAATTCTGGCCTGCCACCTCCAGTTCTTTGCAGCCAGTACCTCCCACCCCAATTTGGCCAGAATCTTGACTTTAAAGGTGGCGGGAGGCATGGGGACCAGTAACCAAGGAGCTCAGGGGTAGGGTGGCCCCTGCACAGTCCGGTAGCACTCTACACACTCACACTTGACTGTTCACCTATCAAGCCCCATGCTGCTGCTCGAGCACACTTATGAGAGCTGTTGATAAATATCAGATGATTATGAGGTGTTTGTTCCTCTAAGATGCTTGCCTGGTCCACCAATATACCCCCATCACTAAGTGACAGGTGAGCAGATTAAGATGAGACAGGGGCAATAACATCTCAGCCAGTACTGTGCCCAGAAGGTCGGCTCTGCTCACCTGCAGGTAGAGGATGTTGTCTTTGGAAATAGCTTCCATCAGGTCTTTGTGGAGGGCGGGCTCTGTCCGGACTCCGGGAGAGCCCGGCTCAGCCTCTGGCCCCTCCGCAGGACGCTGCCGGTAAAAAAGCACATAGGCTGTGTCCTTGGGGAAGAAGGAGGTGATGTTGCTGACAGACTCGAAGGAGGAGAAGGACACCCGAGTGTCATTGAACAGGTACCACTGGTTCTCCGGCTCGGGCCTGTCGGCGGCTCCCAGAGCAGGTGCCGGGCGGGCAGCGCCCTCGCGCGCATAGCAGTAGTAGTGGCCGCTCTCCGAGGACACGCCCGAGTGCACCACGACGCTGCAGAGGTCGTAGGCCTGGCCTCGGCCCCCGGCCAGCGGCAGGTGCAGCAGCAGCGGGATGGAGACAGCGTCCAGGATCTTGCGGCGCCGCATGGTGCGTGGGTCGAAGGAGAAGCGCAGCAGCGTCAGGACGAGGTAGCGCGGCCCCTGGCTCAGCTCCACCGCCCTCTCGGCCTCCTGCAGCGAGGCACACGACTCGCAGTAGTAGCGGTTCTCCGCCATCAGCCTCTCAGGGGTCAGGAAGTAGTTGACCAGGTCGAGGACGGAGCGGGAGCCCTCCCCGGAGGGGGCGGCGGCGGCGTCCCCGGGGATCCCTGGCCCCGGGCAGTCCTCCTCCTTCCCCTTCTCGGCCTCCTTCTCTGTCTCCTGGTCCAGCTTCTCCTGCTCCTCCTGCTGCTGCGCCTCCCCTTTCTCCTCCTTCCTGCTCGCTTCCTCCTCCGCTCTCGCCTCTGCTGCCCCCTCGCTCTCCAGCTTCTCCGGACTGCTCGGCGCGCGGGGTCCCGGGAGTCCCAGGGCTCCGAGGTCCAGGCCCGTGGGGGGGGCGTCCCCGGCGATGCAGTGCTTCCTCTGCCTCCGAGGGCTCGCCCCGCTTGGAAGCTGGGCCTGGGACGGCGGCGGGGGCTCCCAGGCGCCCACACCTTCCGCAGGGACCGTCACTGAGCCCAGGCGGCGGCGGCGGCCGCGCTCCGCAGGCGGGAAGGCCAGAGAGAGGTCCGTGAACGCCTCCTCCCTGGAGGAGACATTGAGGCAGTGGAGGCAGCATATCCGAGTGACAATCTTGCCTCCAAACATCTTCTCCACAGAGGTTGAACTTGGGCTCGGGGACCCCTCGGGAGGGGAAGGCAAACTGGACTGCTTGAGCTTCTGGCAGATCCTTGCCCCCGTTTTCTCCTCTTCATGCAGCCTAGAGCAGGGAGCACAGGGGCTTCTGCATACACACAGGTCCAGCTCCAGAGCGCTGGCCTCATGCTCCATCTTACTCGGCTGGCCTCACCTTAGACACGTGCAGGAGTATGCACACACGCTGCATGCTTACCTGCATGCACGCACACAAAGCTGCTACTAAAGAGGTGCCATGTTTATGTGCATGTGCCGCCAGAGCTGTGACCAAAACACACACATGTGCATTTGGGCAAGCACAGCGCAGCATGCACACGCACACTTCCCCCTCCCAGGTTATGAATCAGATCAGCATCTACTAAACTCCCACCACCCAGCCCCCACCCCACACTCACAGCACCCTCTCCTCCGTGGCCTGCACAAGTGCAGTGCTGCACCGCCATTTCCAGGAAGAGGCAGCAAAGCCCGGAGGAATGGGGTTTCCCACAGGCACCCCCCAGGCCTGGGGACCCAGGCCTCCCCCCTTACCGATCCAGCAGGTACTTCAAGTACTCTGAGCAGTCCTGCTGTGTGCCGGGGCTGAACCAGGGTGTCCAGGACGCAGAAAGGAAGTTCTCTGGAGAAATGGCAGGCCTCTAGGACCAAGGCAGGTGAAGAGCAGGGTCAGGAGCAGAAGACACCCACCGACCACCCCTGCAGTGTGCACATCTGAGGGGCTGCCTGGGGACTCTGCCCCAAACTTCCCAGCCTCCTCGCTGAGGCCCCCACCCCCTAGCTGTCCAGACCCATCCATCCCACCAGGTGCATGCAGCCTATAAAGCAGGGCATGGAGATGAACAACCCTCCAGGAATTTGCTTTTTCCTGGCACCTATTTCTCTCCAGGCATTTGTTTATTCCCATTCCCTCTGCCTAAAACACCCTTCTGTCAAAAGCTTGGCTACAGAGTTCAAGTCCCAGATGTAGTAAGCGCCAACTCGTTCCACGTCATCTTCCCAATGGACCCACACCCAAGTCATGATCTACCCCTCTCTTTCTCGCATGTGTATGACACACTGCATTTCCTTTGTTCAAGCACTGCAGCTGTTATCTGTAGGTCCGTCTTCCTCACCAGGCTCTGCGCTTCACGAAGGCAGGGACCATGGCATATTCATCTCCGTGCCCCCACACATGGTCTTCAAGTTCCATGAAGGCAGAAACAGTGAATAAAACAAATACAGCCCCCGGGGTGCCTGGCAGTGTGACAGCTCCAAAGGACAGCAGGTGAACAAAGTGACACCTCATGCAACAGACTGAACCACCGACAGGAGATCTGGGCAGTGCAGGGGGAGCCTCCAGGAGGTGGTCCCTCTCCCACCTAGTGAGGGCACTGAACCAGCCAGGGACCTGGCCATTAACCATGCCAGCCGGGACTGGAGCTCCACAGCTTACGGCAGACACGGGGGCTCACAGCAGAGGCAGGTGAGCCCTGGGGAAGAGAAGGGGTCCAACCTCCTCCTCCCCACCCACCCCGAACCCGCCCACTCACCTGGCTGTGCTCCAGGAAGGCAAAAAGCCACTGCAGCTTGGCCATCAAGGGCTGCGAGTTGTTCTCAGTCAAACGGAGCACACAGCGCCTGAAGCTTCAAACACAGCAGGAGCACCCGGGGTGAGCCAAGGCCCCCAAGGGGCCCCTCCCTGCCCAGACCCCAGGCAACCCAGAGCCGCCAGGCTAATGGCGGAATAGGCACCTGTAGCTCAAGCCCGGGCCCACAGCCAGGGCGAAGGAAGTGGGGGGCTCAGCCTGGACAATGAGGGGACCCCGCAGTCCCTTCCAATTCTGACAGTCCATGACTCCAAGACTCAAGATTTGAATATCCTGAGATCTTCTGGTCCCAGGGTTCCATAACTGGAAGTCCCCAACATGCTCCACAGTCTGTGCCTGTATCACCACCAGCCACTGACATCCTTCTCCCTGCTTCCCCAGAAATGGGGCTCAGATCCATCCAGAGCCGCAGGACTTGCTCAGCCCTCGACCCTCCAAGTCAACTTTACAGCCCCAGGTCCTCCCAAGTTGTTCCCCTGCCTCCAAATGAGGCAGATAAGGGTCCATATGAGGAATATGCTGAAAGAAGGGAATGCTGTTGGGGTAGACTGGCTCCCAGGGACAGGGGTCCAACCCCATGGGAGACAGGAAGGAGCCCCTCCTGACCCATACCCCCTGGAGCAAGCTGACTCCCAGGCCCCGGCTCAGCACCTGTGCTCATAAGCAGCTCTGGGCAGGCATGTCTCCCCAGCTTGAGCCCCGCATGCAGAAGAGCATGATCAGAGTGGACTGCACTTTGCAACAAGCTAAGTTCAGGAATAGACTGAACATTTGGAAACTTGTATAGCACTTTGACATTACTCAACCATATATAAGCACATGATTTCTCTGATAGTCATTTTTATCATATTTCACAAAAATAACAATCTGCAGCAAGCTTGAAAGTAGAAAAACAAAATAAAAGCAGTCCTTCACCCATGCTTCACCTTTGAGAAGCACAGCAGCAGATCACATTAGGAAGACCAAGAGATCAGCCCCAGCCTCCCCCTGCTGGACCTGAAGCTCAGAGAGCAGAAGCCAAGTTGAGGCCCTACCGTAAGGCAGGAGAAGGATTATTTTCACTGTATCATTAAAAAAAGAGAAAGTCTAAGTGTGGTGTTGGTGAGAGAATAGTTGAATAGAATAGAAAGCAGAGCTCCATAAATACTGTCAACTGATCTTTGACAAATGAGCAAAGGCAACACAATGGAGCAAAGAGAGTCTTGTCAACAAATGGTGCTGGGACTGCACATCCACATGCACAACAAGGCATCTGGACACAGAGCTCACACCCATCACAAATCCACTCAGAATGGATCACACACCTGAGTGTAAAATGCAAAACACCAAACTAACTCTAGGGAGGTAACAAAGGAGACCTACAAGACCTTGAAGGCGAGGTGATACCTTTTAGAAAAACACCAAACACATTATCCATGAAAAAAATAACTGATAAAGCTGGATTTTATTAAAATTTAGACTTCTGCTCTGTGCAAGACAGTATCAAGAGAATTACAAGACAAGCCAAACTCTGGGAGAAATGTTTACAAGAGACACATGTGATAAGCAAAACCTTTCATCTAAAATATACCAAAAGCTCTTAAAACTCAACAATAAGAAATCAAACAACCCAATTAAAAAATGAGTAACCCTAACCCTGGGAGGTAGGGTGTCCAAGCTGGCAGCAAAGGAAGATCCTGAGCTCACCTCATCCAGTGGACATGGCAAATCTACAGCCAAGTAGGAATTATTTCCCTCTGGAAAAGATCTGAAACCCAGAAGAACTGCTCTCCACACCAAAGGATAAAAGGACCACATCAAGATGGGTAGGAAAGGCACAGATATGGTCTTACAAAATACCTTACCCCCAGCAGAGCAACACATGACAGGGAGATCTCACCAGACATGCTTCTTCCAGAGGGAGGGATTGGTACCCAACACTGGACACCCCAATACCTGCAATCTGCAATGCAGAGATGATGCCCCAAAATGTTTGGTTTGGAAAGCCAATGGGTCCCAAAATGTTACAGGAAACTGCAATTCCCCTCTTGTAGGGCTGACATGCAGTCTCACTCACCCCAAGACCCAGCAAACAGCAGTTGGAAAAGCAAACAGATTATATATGCGGGAGCTTCATCTGCTGATCTGAAGGCATCACCTGGAGGGGCAGGGGACGGTGGAGGGACTCCCTGGGGATAGAGGCACAGGTAGGTGCCATTAGGTCACACTCCCCACAGCCTGCCGGCACAGCAGGCCATCTAAATGCCACACCCTCACTGCCTTGCTGGAACTGCGAGAGCAAGTGGTGGTGGCCGGTGCTAAGCTGGAGGGCACAGGCAGCTGCCGCACTCCCCAGCTTGCTGGCAGGGGCTGGTGAGCACCAGCAGGGGCTGCATTCTCCTGCACCCAGCCTAGAGCCAGCATGCACACACCACTGCACCATGGAGGCTACTGAGCATGTGCGGTCAAGGCACTTCCCACAGCCTTTCTGAAGCCAGTGAGTGCACCCCATCTGCTACACTCTCCAGCTCCCTGCTAAAAGCAAGTGGGTGCACACAATCCACACAGGGACACCCCTGATCTCCCGGACTTGGTGGCCAAGATGGCTGGCATTTTGAGCACCACAGGACTGTAACAATTGGAAGGACAGTTCTTGGCAGACCACCCCCACAAGGCAGTGCACTGACAACAGGCTGAACACAACTGCAGTCCCCCTGTGAAAAGTGCCTAGTTATATATCCTGGAGCTTCAGCCCAAAGGACAGGCTTCATACTTCCCACACATCTAGAAGCTAAGAAGGTGCTCCCAGGAAACATGAGCAGGGACACACCATCCCTGCACTGCCCCTGGCCTTGTTACAGCCCAAAAGTACTTCCCAGAAAGGAGCTTATACAGGCATCTGGAGCCCTGATTTTTGCAACTGTTGCCAGGGACACCTCCAGATCTCCTGGTCTAGAGGCCACCAGAGATGACAATCTTGAACCGTACATATCTGCACACTTTAAAAGCTGCTGCCTGAGGGTATGGATTCCAATTAGCTTTTCACCAGGAGCTGAGATTCCTCCCCTGGGACCATTGACAAATTGTGGCCCACCTCAAAAGTGGGGAATATTAAGTTTAGACAATCACAAAGGTTCGAGAGACAACCAAGAGGATCATCAGCTATACAAGCTCACTTCCTTGAGACTGAGGGAGGCAGGTGCTTTGCCTAACATATAAAAACAGAATCAAGCAAAATGAGTAAACAAAGAAATATGTTCCAAAAGAAAGAACAAGCTAAAACCTTAGAAAAAAACACCTTGATAAAATGGAGGTAAGTCATCTACTTAATGAAAATTTCAAAGTAATGGTCATAAAGATTCTCACCAAACCTGGGAGAATGATGCACACGGTGAGACATCAACAAACAGAAAACAACAAACAGAAAACACCAAACAGAAGACACAGAGCTGAAATACATAACAACTGAACTGAAAAAAAATACACTAGAAGGGTTCCACAGCAGACTGGGTGAAGCAGAACAGATCAGCAAACTGGAAGATAAAACTAGGGAACTCACCCAGACGCTGCAGCAAAAAAGAAAAAAGAATTTTAAAAAATGAAGATAACTTAAGGGACTTGCAGAACAAGATCATGCGGAAGAACACTCCCATTACAGGCTTCCCAGAAGAAGAAAGAGAAAGAGGCAGAAAATTATTTGAATAAATAATGGCCAAAAATTTCCCTAATCTAGGGAAGGAAATAAACATCCAGGTCATGAAAGCTCAGGTAGTTCAAGAAAGATGAACCCCATTGAGCCACAGCAAGACACATTTCAATCAAGATGTCAAAAGTTCAAGAGAGGACATTAAGAGTAGCAAGACAAAAACAACTTGTTACATACAACAGAAACCCCACACAACAATCAGATTTCTAGGCGGAAATTCTGCAGGCCAGACAGGAGTAGCACAATAAATTCAAACTGCCTAAATGAAAACTTCCAACCAAGAACACTCTACCCAGCAAGGCTATCATTCAGATTTGCAGGGGATGTAACGAGTTTTCCAGACAGACAAAAGGAATTCATCACTGCTAAACCAGCCATACAAGAAATATTAAAAGACTACTTTAAGCTGAAAATGATATGCACTAATTAAAAAAAGAAAACATATGAAATAAAAATCACACTGAAAAAGTGAACAGAGTAAAGGTAGTGATTAACCACTTATAAAGCTACAAAGGTTAAAAGACAAAGGTACTAAACTTAACAAAAAACTAAATAATCAATGAATACACAAAAAGATCTAAAAAGTGATCTTGAAACATAACACATGAGGGGGGAGCAGTAAAAAATGCCATTTTGTGTTGTCAAGGTTGTGGAGAAAGGGGAACCCTCCTACACTGCTGGTGGGAATGTAAATTAGTTCAACCATTGTGGAAAGCAGTATGGAGGGTCCTCAAAATGCTCAAAATAGACTTACCACTTGACCCAGGAATTCCACTCCTAGGAATTTACCCCAAGAATGCAGCACTCAAGTTTGAAAAAGACAGATGCACCCCTATGTTTATCGCAGCACTATTTACAACAGTCAAGAATTGGAAGCAACCTAAGTGTCCATCAGTAGCTGAATGGATAAAGAAGATGTGGTACATATACACAATGGAATATTATTCAGCCATAAGAAGAAAACAAATCCTACCATTTGCAACAACATGGATGGAGCTAGAGGGTA